AAAAAAAAAAAAAAAAGAAATTCAGTTTTCCCAGTTTGTTCTATGTATATTGTTTACGGTGATTATTATTATTATTTTGAGACAGTCTCTGTTACCAAGCTGGAGTGCAGTGGCACTATCTGGGCTCATTGCAACCTCCACCTTCAGGGTTCAAGCGATTCTCATGACTCAGCCTCCCAAGTAGCTGAGATTACAGGCACAGGCCACCATGCTTGTATTTTTTGTATTTTTGTATTTTTAATAGAGACTGGGTTTCACCTTGTTGGCCAGGCTGGTTTCAAACTCCTGGACTCAGGTAATTGCCCACCTCAGCCTCCCAAAGTGCTAGGATTTCAGGCCTGAGCCACTGACCTTAACCTATTTATGGTTATTCTTTGAAAATTTTAAAAATTTTTATGTAATTGAATTTATCAGTATTTTCTTTGATGATTTCTGGGTTTCTTTCTTTTTTTGAGACAGAGTCTCATTCTGTCACCTAGGCTGGAGTGCAGTGGCATGATCTCAGCTCACTGTAACCTCTGCCTCCCAGTTTCAAGAGATTCTTGTACCTCAGCCTGAGTAGCTGGGATTACAGGCGTGCACCACCACACCTGGGTAATTTTGTATTTTTAGTAGACTCAGAGTTTTGCCATGTTGGTCAGACTGGTCTCAAACTCTTGGCCTCAAGTGATCCACCCACCTTGGCCTCCCAAAGTGCTGGGATTATAGGCATGAACCACTGCACCTGGCCAACTTCTGTGTTTCATATAACTTCTAGAAAAGTCTCCAAATACTTAAGATTATTCTCAAAGCTCCTATGTTTTTAAAAATTACTTCGATAGTGTCTTTTTGGATATGTAAATATTTGATTCACCTGGAATTTATTTTGGTGTAAAGGTGTGAGACAGAGATCCAACTTTGTTTTGTATTATTCAAATCCTTCTTATTGAATAACCCACATTTTCTCTCTTGTTTTTGAATGCTATCTTTATAATACCACATTGCCATATGTATTTGGGTCTATTTCTAGATTTTTCATTTCATTCCATTGATCTATTCATTTAAAATTTTTTTTTTTTTTTTTTTTTTTTTGAGACGGAGTTTCGCTCTTGTTACCCAGGCTGGAGTGCAATGGCGCGATCTCGGCTCACCGCAACCTCCGCCTCCTGGGTTCAGGCAATTCTCCTGCCTCAGCCTCCTGAGCAGCTGGGACTACAGGCACGTGCCACCATGCCCAGCTAATGTTTTGTATTTTTAGTAGAGACGGGGTTTCACCATGTTGACCAGGATGGTCTCGATCTCTTGACCTCGTGATCCACCCGCCTCGGCCTCCCAAAGTGCTGGGATTACAGGCTTGAGCCACCGCGCCCGGCCTAAAATTTTTTAAAAGTTATATATATTATGGTTTTTTACCAAAATTTAAAAAATTAATGTACAATCTACATGCAGAAAAATGCACAAATGACAAGTGTGTATCTTGAGAGCTTGAATTTTCACAAATGGAATGCATTTGTGTAACCAGCAGGAGATCAAGAAACAGAATATTACTAGTGCCCTAGAAGCCACCTGTGTGTCCCCTTGCACTGCTCTTCTCAAGGACAACCACTCTCCTTACTCCTGATACCAGAAACAAATTTTGCCTGTTCTTGCTTTTTATATAAAGAGAATCACAGAGTATGTACTCTTTTGTGTCTGGCTTCCTTTGTTCAAATTATTTCTGTGAGATTCGGCCATATTGTGGATAGTTTTAGTCCCTTCCTTCTGACTACTGTGTACTATAATATTGTGGGGCTATATTGACCCATAACTTATGTTTCTATTCTGTTGTTATTTTGACTGGAATCACATATTCTTGGATTATCTAAACTAGAATGTATGATATAGACTCTGCCTACACACTTAAGTCATTGGTGCCCATCAGTAGAATTTTAGTTTTCATCATGTAGAATTTACATATTTCTTGTTAAAGTTATTCCTAGGTATTTGAGTGCCTTGATTGCTATAGCTATTTTTTACTTTTAAAAAGGCAAAATGGTAGTTCAAATTCAGGGTAAAATGTGTCCAGTGTTGCCATAACACAGACCTACTTTATGGGTCTATCTTCCTGCTTCAGTGAAGGCGGGATGGGCAAAAAGGAGGAAATGAAGTCCAAAAAGGGGGTTACAATTTATAGTTAAACCACAAGAGGAATTGTTTATTTCTTTTTTAAGACAGAGTCTTACTCTGTTGCCAGGCTGGAGGCAATGGCATGATCTCTACTCACTGCAACCTCCACCTCCCAGGTTCAAGCGATCCTCTTGCCTCAGCCTCCCAAGTAGCTGACACTACAGACATGCACCACCATGCCTGGCTAATTTTTGTTTTTTTAGTAGAGATGGGGTTTCATGTTGCCCAGGCTGGTCTCCAGCTCCTGGGCTCAAGGCATCTGGGATTACAGGAGTGAGCCAATGCACCCAGCAGTGAAAAACCAAGTAGCATCCTTTTCCTGGAATTCTTTTTTTTTTTTATGGAGTCTCACTCTACCATCCAGGCTGGAGTGCAGTGGCATGATCTCTGCAACCTCTGCCTCCCGGGTTCAAGCAGTTCTCCTGCCTCAGCCTCCTGAGTATCTGGGATTATAGGCACACACCACCACACCCAGCTAATTTTTGTATTTTTAGTAGAGACAAGGTCTCACCATGTTGCTCAGGCTGATCTCAAACGCCTGACCTCAGGTGATCCACCAGCCTCACCCTCCCAAAGTGCTGAGATTACAGGTGTGAGCCACCATAATCTTATTTTAAAATAAGATTGATTTTATCTTATCTAAAAATAAGATTGACTTCTAACTTGTTGGGGAGCAGAAGGAATAAATTCAAGTGAGCTTACCCCTCACCCTCAAGTCACTGTACATTTGGGATTTATCATCTCATTTCTCCTCTCAGATCCCAAATCAGGATGGAGAGATTGAATTGTGGGATGCTGGAATTGGATGAATTATAATTTCTTCATTCTCATCTCCAGTCCTAAGAGTCTATACTCTTTCCCTGAAGGGTGTTCTGAACAGGCTGTGGATGGCATTAGGCGGAGTGAGTTAAGGTCTGGATTGCCCAGAGGGTTCAGTGAGCAAGTGTTACCTTTAGCAAACTGAAACAGGAAAGTAGACCTTAGCTAGGGGTCGGGCAGTGAGGGGCTCTGAAGTACAAGGAGACTTCCCAGAGCCTTGGCTGCCCACAGAGTTCCCTCCCTGCATGATATATGAATGATCTATTCAAATGCTGTTCAGCTGTCTGAGTCTTTGGAGAATAGCACTCATCTCTCTTGTTGCCCATCGTAGGAGTCACCCCTCCTCCCCGCTTAAGCCTCTTCACCAGAAACCAGCAACTGGGAGCATAAGCCTTAGTGTCCTAACTTATGGTGGTGCTACTCTTCAGTCTTCAGACCAGACTGAATTGTGGCAGGTGCTCTAGGAGAGAATTCTCTTCAGCCTCTGATAACCACCGCCCAGCTGTCTTCCTACTTAATTCCCCTTACAAAGCAATTTGGAGGAACAGGACCCAGGAGTCCCTGGTTTCAGATGCTCTCCAGCCTGAGTCACCACCATACTGACTTTTTACAGCAAGAGTTCCACCCAAAGTCTCTTGCCTTTCCCTCACATGGGTGCTGGTGGGAGAAGGGGACAGGTGAGAGGATGCTGGAGGCATTTTTGCGTGTGTCCTTGCCGGGCCCATGCGAATACCTGCTCTTACCTGTGCTGACATCCACTTTGAACTGTAATCCTTCTCAGCCTTATCTCTTTGCCTCTAATGGACCCTGGAAAGCAAATGTGGCCTAAGGCCTCAGTCTCCCCTGCAACCTGTGGCTTCTTATAGCAGAATTTCTTAACCAATATTCGATGGAGCCTGTCTGTGATGGCTTCAGACTGACTGGATAATTTACAAATATTTTTGTTCATAGCTTGCATCAGAAATTCTCAGAGGGGTCTGTGACTCAAAAAAGTTGAAGATCATTGCTCAGCAGGTCTCTCATCTCTTGAATCAGGGACCCAGCACAGCACAGGAAATAGAAGTCAGAAATAGAGAAAGACGATCGGGGATGGAAATGTGGAGCGTGGAGACGGTGCCACAGTCTCTTTGGGTCCAAAGTTATCTCACAGCTTAAGTGGGACCGTGTCTGAGATGGAAGAGAGAGGAGTGGGAGGAGGGCAGGCGGGAGTGCCCTTGGAAAGGTTCTGTCAAGCAGGGATGGGCAGAGGGTAGGCAGAGTCAAATTCTCCAATCTGAAATAGCTCACAGATTATTCTGCCAATGTGTGCAACCTCTCTCTAACCTAGGAGGTTGTTGAGGTCAGAACCCAGAAAGGAACTAGGAAATCTGAAGCCTCCGTTTCAGAGAATCCTTTGCTGAAGCCAGGCATTTCACTGCAGGCCATCTGCTCCCTGGAATTTCTGCTCCTTTCTACCAGTCCCTGAGGCAGAGGCTGTAAGGACACTGGGAGAGGGGACTGAGAAGAGTAAAAACAAAGAAAAACCCCAATCTTGTGTATCAGGTGCATTAGAGTTAGTAAAGAAGGTGAGGACCAATAACAGCCCAGTCCCTGCTGAAAGTTCAGAGTGGATAGGCTGGAAGATTTCCCTTCTTACAGATTGTGTCCTGCAACTGAGAGGCCCTGGGAGACAGAGCCATGAGGGCGTGGCAGTGAGGATGGCAGCGTGCTGGAAAGTGGGAGTTTTCAGTCAGCCCTGAGCTCAAATAGCTAATTGCTATTTACTAACTCTGCACACTTGAGCGCTTACTCTTTGACCTTTAGTTTCATCAGCTAAGATGCCTCCCTACTTTATAGGGCTGATGTGAGGATTAAATAAGAAAACATATAAAGTCACTGGCATAGAATAGGCCCTCAATCAATGTTATTTTCTTTGCTTTGAACGTGTGCCCCACCCTGGACAGAGTCTCCGTTGGATTGTCCCCATCGTGTGGTGCCATACATCCCTGCACATGGTCCACAAAACTTCTGTACTCACACCCCCTACTTATATCCTTTGTTGCATTTACACACTCATTTGCACACACACAGCAGCCTGTACCGTCACCGCTGAGCTGAGGGCAGCCTTTCTGATAGGTGAGATGAGGAACCGGCTTGCTGAGGCCTGGACAAGCTGTGGAAGTGCTCGTCTTAGTAAGCTTGTTACACTAATGGGCTTCACCCTTCAAAAGTATCCTGGAGAAGCTGCGATAGGAGACAAAGGGGCTGTGATGGGAGCAGCTCCACAGGCATTTCCCTGAGATTAAATGTGTTTCTTGAGGGATACTCTCCACCCATCGCTGCCAATGAGACCTTAGTCTGTGCCCCGGGCTGTGATGTCTGAAGCTTTGCTGTCCAGTATGGTACCCCTGGCCACACGTGGCCATCGAATGCCTGTAGGTAGTACAGCTGAGGAATGGAATTTTAAATTTATATAATTTTAATTTAAAATTTAAAACAGATTTTGATTCCCTTATTGGAAAACGTTTTATGTCTGAAAAAAACTTGGATGTGTGAATCCACTTTCTCTATAGTGACCTGTATGAAATCCAAATACAGATTTTCTGGTGAAAATTTAGCAACTGAATTGTGATGTTGAGATGTACTGTAACTGTAAAATATACCTTGGATTTTAAAGACCTAATATGAAAAAGTGGCCGGGCGCGGTGGCTCACGCCTGTAATCCCAGCACTTTGGGAGGCCGAGGCGGGTGGATCACGAGGTCAAGAAATCGAGACCATCCTGGTCAACACGGTGAAACCCCGTCTCTACTAAAACTACAAAAAATTAGCTGGGCATGGTGGCGTGTGCCTGTAATCCCAGCTACTCAGGAGGCTGAGGCAGGAGAATTGCCTGAACCCAGGAGGCGGAGGTTGCGGTGAGCCGAGATCGCGCCATTGCACTCCAGCCTGGGTAACAAGAGCGAAACTCCGTCTCAAAAAAAAAAAAAAAAAAAAAGTGTTAAATATTTTATGATTGATTTTATATTGATAATATATTGAAATGATAATAGTTTGGGTACATTGGGTTAAATAAAATAAGTATTGAAATTAAATGTATCTGTTTCATTTTGATTTTTGAATGTAGTAGCTACTAGAAAACTTGAAATTACATAGGTGACTTGGATTCTATGTCTGCTGGATAACGCTGCTCTGGAGACTTTGAGACTCCAGAGACTTTGGGCAGCAGCATGTCCCAGCGCCAGACAGTCATCTGTTCCTCACTGCGGCAGGGGTTTCCCAGAGAAGATTTCTCTGAACGGCATTGCTGCTTCCGCATTGCAGAGAGGGCAGCGAGAGTGGGAATCTTCAGCGTCTGAGTCCCAAGTCCCAACCTAATAAGCTGCTGGTGGGAGGTTATGGTGAGGAGGGGGAGGGCTGTGCCCCCAAAAACCTCTCTGGTACATTATAAACTGGAGAAGGGGAAGTTGCTGGGATGCTAACTGGGTTGTGCGTGCATGGTGGGTGGGGAGGTTGCAGGCTCAGGGAAACTCATTTCTCAAGCAGGTCACTTTCTCCAGCCTTACTCTCCTGTCTGCCCGGTTCTCATATTCACCTCTGGTCCTACCCACATATTCCTATCTCTGTCTCACTAAAGAGTGGCCTGCCTGTGAAGTCCAGCTTCACCTCCTCAGTGGCACTGAGCGTCTCACCTATCGGGCAGTTTGGGCTGAGAATC